CCAAGAGGGCTTGATATGATCCCCTTTTGCAACCTCCTGACAAGCAAAGTCAGCGGGAAGCCAGATTCATTTAACAGCCATACTACTGCAGTGATTCACTTAACAGCAGTGGCAAGCAAGGTTGTAAAACGGGGCAAATCTCACTTAATGTCTCACTTAGCGATATAAATTTTGGGCTCAACTGTGGTCGTAAGTCGAGGATTACCTGTAGAACCCTAAATCTGTGTCAATTAAACATAATTGCTATGCGGGGGGGGTGGGTGTTGGCATGAAATTGTCCTGATGAGTAACTAGGTCAGAAACAACATAATCCCATTGTTTTTATTAGGGATGATATCAGAAAAATGTGATAAGAAAAGTATGTGTTTAATATCACATGTCTTAATAGCAGCGAGGATTACCTTCGTGCAATATTGGAAAAACGAAGAAACACTGCAAGATGGAGAGATAATTAGGAAGGTATTAGATTGTGCAGAAATGGATAGGCTGACATTGAAAATTAAACAGAAAGAAGATATAGAATATCATCAAATCTGGAAATTATTTTACCAGTGTTTGGGAAAAAAAGGGGAGGGGAGTAAGAATGGACCCTGTATTGCTAAAGCAAATTAAATATGCAGACAACATGATGTTCATTAAACACTACGAAATGTATCTTATTTTTTGGAGTATAAGGCGCAGCTTTTTCCCCCCTAAAAGAGCGTGGAAATATTGGTGCGTCTTGTACACTGAACACATCCATTTTTGGCCTCCCAAAGCTCCCCCCGCCCCCCGCATCCCATTTTTGTAAAAAATGGTTGAAAAATTGGCCATTTTTTGCAAAAATTGGGGTGTTTTGGCCTTCCCCAACCCTCCAGAAGCACTGGGGCATTTTTCCCTTCCCCCAACCCTGCTAAAGCCTGCAGAGTGTTCCTGGGGGCCGGGGAGGAGAAAAACCTTTTTTTCTTACTTACCTCTTTGAAATCTTGGTGCGTCTTATACACTGGTGTTTCTTATAGTCTGAAAAATATGGTAATTAATAGAAAATTAATAACATTTTTTTTAATGACATCATCCCAGTTTAGCTGAGTTTAGCGCGATACGCCATCATGTGGGATGTAGAAGTGGGCTAGAAGAAGCTACAATCCGAAATCAATGCTCTCCCTCTCCTTTCCCCCCCCAAATTCAGGCTAAGGTGATTGTCCCAAACAGCACAGCTGGGCTGATCATCGGCAAAGGCGGCGCCACCGTCAAAGCTATCATGGAGCAGTCCGGCGCTTGGGTGCAGCTGAGCCAGAAACCCGAAGGCATCAACCTCCAGGAACGCGTGGTGACCATCAGTGGTGAACCCGAACAGATCCACAAGGCCGTCGACATCATCGTCCAGAAGATCCAGGAGGATCCGCAGAGCAGCAGCTGCCTCAACATCAGCTACGCCAACATTACTGGCCCGGTGGCCAACTCAAACCCAACCGGATCTCCCTATGCCAACTCTACAGACGTTCTACCAGCGGCTGCTGCGGCCGCCACCGCTTCAGGCTTGTTGGGCCACACCAGCCTGGCCGGGGTTGGCGCCTTCCCGGCTGCCCTGCCAGGTTTTTCCGGCAGCGACCTCTTGGCCATCAGCACAGCGCTCAACACCTTAGCGAGTTACGGATACAACACCAATTCTTTGGGGCTCGGCCTCAATTCAGCCGCCGCTTCCGGGGTCCTGGCCGCGGTGGCCGCCGGAGCCAACCCAGCAGCCGCGGCCGCTGCTAACCTCTTAGCTTCGTACGCCAACGAAGCTTCTACGAGTACCACGGCCCCAGCCGGTGCAGTTGGCGCCTTCACCTTGGGCTCTTTAGCAGCGGCCACCGGGGCGGCCAACGGCTACTTAGGGACCGCCTCCCCATTGGTGGCCAGCTCCTTCCTAGCCACTGAGAAGCTAGTGGAAAGCGCTAAAGATATGGTGGAGATCGCGGTGCCGGAAAACCTAGTCGGTGCCATTTTGGGCAAAGGCGGGAAGACGTTGGTCGAGTATCAGGAGCTGACGGGGGCCCGCATCCAGATTTCCAAAAAGGGGGAATTTATTCCAGGTACCAGGAACCGTAAAGTCACCATCACCGGCACGCCAGCCGCCACCCAAGCCGCGCAATATCTCATCAGCCAGCGAGTAACGTACGAGCAAGGAGTCCGGGCCACCAACCCACAGAAAGTGGGATAGGAGGAGGCCAAAGCGAAGGCTTGGGGAGGGGAGGAATCGGTTCAATCAGCCCTTTAATCGTGAAAAGTGGTAACCGCCATGACCCCGGCCCCTGCCCAGTGCCCATCCTCTCTGCCATACACAAACACACATACAGACACACAGACACACAGATACACAGAGCCCCCTCCGTTTGGGATGCAGCCCATCATATTCTGCCGGACGTTTATTTCACCAACGGTGTGGCCTGAATGTGTATATATTTCTCTCTCTCTCTCGGTCTCTCTACCTATCTATATATATATATACTTGGCGACGTTTTCTTTTCTTTTTTTTCAGTTGATGGATTTGAATAGAAAAAAAAAAATTTTTTT